GGATTACAGGCATGGACCACCATGACTGACATTGAAATAAAATATTTTTAAAAAGGGCTGAGGATGTGGCTCAGTGGTTAAGTGCCCCTGGGTTTAATCCAAACCAAACAAAATTAAAATTAGGGCCAGGCACGGTGGTGCATGCCTATAATCCCAGCAATTCCAGAAGTCAAGGCTGAAGGATCAAAAGTTCAAGGCCAACCTCAGAAACTTGGCAAGACTCTGTCTCAAAATAAAAAAATGAAAAGAGCTGGGGATGTAGCTCAGTGGTTAAGTGTTAGTCTAGCATGCTCACAGCTCTATGTTCAGCCCCCAATACCTCAAAAAAATTATTAGAAAAAAATTGCATCAGAAAATTGTCCTTGGGGGCTGGGGTTGTGGCTCAGTAGTAGAGCACTTGCCTAGCATGTGTGAGGCACTGGGTTTGGTTCTCAGCACCATGTATAAATAAATAAAATAAAGATCCATTGAAAACTGAAAAAAATTTTTTTAAAATTTGTCCTTAATATGATCTGTGAGTGAAGTTTCTGAATTAATCATGTTTGTACCCCCAGAATTGAGCTCTGCTAAGAACATGGGGGTCCTTGACTCCACAGGATTTCCTTTAATCTTCACTGCCACATAAAGAAGGATGGAGGCCTTGCCCCTGTTTTACAGGAGAGGAAGTATGTTCAGAAATATGAGGAGCTAGATAGGTGCGGTTGGCACACACCTATAATCCCAGTGGCTCAGGGGGCTGAGGCTGGAGGATCGCAAGTTCAAGGCCAGCCTCAGCAACTAAGTGAGGCTCTAAGCAAACTAGTGAGACTCTGTCTCTAAATAAAAAAATAATAATAATAAAAAGGGTTGGGGATGTGGTTCAGTGGTTAAGCACCCCTTGATTCAATTTCTAGTTAGAAGAAGGAGAAAGAGAGAGGGAAAGGGAGGGGAAGGAGGAGGAGGAGGAGAGCAGCAGCAAGCAAGCCAATGAGCTGTTTGGGCAGTGCCCCTGCCTCATCATGCCCTTGCACCCTTCCAGGGACTGAGCCACTTCTGCCCCAAAGATGGGTGCTCAGACCCAGTGCTATGCCTGGCCCAGAGTGCAGAGCAAAATGAGTGGGGTGGGAACTGCAAGCAGCTGGCTCCATCTGCCTGGAGCCCAGGCTTTTCCCCCTCCACAGAGGGCCTAGGAGATCTGGGATTAGGAAGCAACACCATTTAGGGAGAGAAGCTCAGAGGCCCTGAGACAGGTGGGAGGCGGGAGCCGCAGAGAAGTAGAGAATATAGAAGCTCTGGGCCCTCCCAGGGTTCTGGAGTTGGGGGTCCCACTCCCCTGCCTGGGGATGTCCTTGAAGGGCACACTCACCAGCTTCGATGCTTTCCACCTCCACTACCATAATTAGCCTTTCTCCTCATACCCATCTCTCTTGCCTACCCAGGCAGGACCAAGCCTCTCTGGGACCTATTCTGTCGCTCCTCTGCCCTTCCTGGGATCCTGCTGTGCCTTCCCTTGGAAGCTGAAGGGTGCCTCCTGGCCTCCAACCCAAATGTGGGCACAGGGTCGGTGCTCAGTCTTGGGGATCTCAGCAGGGGCTGAATGTTTCCATCCTCTAGTGGCTTCTCTCTATTCTCCCTGCTTCCTTTGGTCTGGGCTGTGGGAGGAGAAAGCAAGTCTAGCAAGGGCCCAGGTACCAGGAGATACAGGTGCCAGCCTAGGGGAGGGGTAACTTCTTTGGCTTTTCTTCTCCCCAGAGAGGCCCCCAGAATACAGAACTTGGATAGGCAGGGTCACATGAGAGCAGGCCATGTTTTTAGAGATATGTCTCTGCTCTCAAGGGCCTTGGTCTGTTTCTACCAAACACAATAGTGGGAGATGGCACAGGGGGCTGGGGCTGTCTGTGCACAGTGACAACAGAGGCTGAGTTTAAGGAAGCCCTCTCTCAGGCAGGCTGTATCTGTCCATAAACACAGTCTGCTCCATGCCTCAGGACAGAGAAGGGACAGAGACGAGTCCCTCTGGGGCTTCTGGGCAATCCCCTCTCCCGAGCATTCTCTTCCAGTATTTCCACGATGAGCTGGCAGTGTTCTGTAAACTCTAGTATGCAGTGAAGGACAAATGTCCTGTCACCACTGTGCCTATGCACGTGTGTGTGTGATGGGCAAAGAGGGCAGGACAGTGGGTCCATACAATGCTGTGTATTAGTTGTCCTGTCTGCTAGAGTGGACAGGCCCCTCTTGTGGGGCCCCAGGTCCAGGGGCTTCTAGGATTCTTGAGTGGCTTATAGATCTGGGAGCAATCTTGAAGACTGAGGGTGCCCCTAATTCTCTGGGTCTCTTAGGGACAGTAGGGGAGTGAGTGTCCATCTTATGACTTTCTTTTGCTATACCACCATCTCCTCTTTCAGCTAATAATGGGTGGGGAGCCACGGGGACATCAACTCTTGACTCTCTCCAACTTGGGCTGTCCCAACAGGCCCTGAATCTCCCAGGACCCCTGGTGCCTAGCCAGTAAATGGCCCCAGGGTGTGCCCCACCCTCTCCTGGGTTTGTTTGTGTATAAAAGCTGAGGCTGGGGCCTGCTGCTGATGCTACACAGCTGACCTTGCTCCCTTTCTAAGATGTTGTTCTGACACAATCAGCCAGAGTACCTGTGGCCCAGTCCTAGGGAACTATACCTGGGGCTCCCCAGCAATGTGCTCAGGTAAATTCCAGATCCCTGTCCCTCTGAGGCCCTGGTCTAACTTTGGGGCAGGTGTGTAAGGCCATCCATTTCAAGCCAAAGAGAACAGTCTTCCTGCTCTTGAACTTCTTTGCAGGTAAAGAAGTGGTCACATGTCCCTAGAATTGGTTTGTTCTATAATCCTAGCTACTCAGGAGGCTGATGCAGGACGATTACAAGTTTGAGACCAACCTAGGCAACTTGGCAAGATCCTGTCTCAAAAGAAAAAATAAAAAAGGCTGGAGATGTAACTCAGCAGTAAAACACTTGCTTAGTATGTGGGTGGCTGGGGTGGGGAGTTCAATCCCCAGAAGGGGAAAAAAAATGCCACTGGAATTTTGTAGGTCCTGGGGCACCCCAAACACACTGGCTCCTCAGAATGTTTTTCTCAGGCATTTGCTGGGTATCAGGGAAGCCTTGGGGTTGCAAACCTAAGTATTTAATGGCAGCTGTTTAGTGCAACATCTGGGATCAACATGGATGTCTTTACAGGAAGCTGTGTGTTCCCTGGAGGGAAGGGCTGGCAATAGAGAGCCATCAGGGGCAGGGTGGAAAGCTGGCAGTGCTCTCCTCTCCTTGGCAGGGAGCCTTTGCCCTTGCCCTCCTGGAAGCAGGAATAACTGCCCAAGATCCCCAGTGGGCACATCCCCTGCCCCACGTTTCAGTATGTGCTCTGTGCAGCCCCCTTGGCAGCCATGAAGCAGCAGGAGGATTGCCTCACCTACCTGGACCAGGGTGTGCTGGCCAGGGGAAGGGAAGGGGCAGAAAGCTCAGAATGGGCTGGAGGGCATAGGTATCACTCTACCCCTCAGAGTGGGACTCACGCATCCTCTTCATCTCCCCCAGGCCAGCCCTATGAGGTGCGGATGCTCTATAATCCCAAACTGGGTGAGCTGCTCCGTGCCTCCTGCTGTTCAAGGTAGGCAACGCCCTGCCCAGAACTGGCAAAGGCTGGGTATGACTGTCTCTCCAGACAGGAAGCCAGTGCCATCACTGTGATGTTGTTGAGTGGAACCCCCTGGAGTCTTTTATTTAATTTGACCCTTAAAATGGTTCAGTGGTGGGCAGAAATTGTTGAGGAAACACGCACAGAGAGGTTGAGTAGTTTCTAAAGGACACAGAGCCAGAAAGTAACCAAGCTGACATTTAGAAATACATTTACACAGTGTTATTCACACACAACGAGCTTTTCTCACCAAATGATCAATTTAGCCCACATCCTATGTTCTGAGCTAGGGATTCGGCAGCTTCCTTCCCCAGGAGGCCTGCCTTCTATTAAGATAAACAAGAAATTACAGGAATCATATGCAACAGCAAACAGAAATACATTCTGCAAGGCAAGGGGTAGAGTAAGGAAGGGTGGGAAAGTAGTACCTCTCCCATTTTATAGACAAGGAAGCAGAGACTCAGGGTCTCTAGGGACCTTTTCAGTTTCCCAGTTGTCTGGAGATTTGAGGTCCCAATGTCTCCTGGCAATGAAAGTGGGAAGGCTGGTCTACCCAGGCGAGAGGGCCTGTTCCTGAAGGCCCTGGCACTCTGTCACCCGTGGACCTCACCCTCCCGTGACCACAGAGTATGGTGCATGTGTTCCACGATGAGCGCCTGCAGTACACACAGCAGCAACAACTGGGTGAATGACGGTGGAGCCAGACTGGGGACCACATCCTGGACACTGGTGAGGAGGGAGGGGCCAGGGGCTCTATGAGTCCGCTTACTGGTTTGGCCTGCGCCTCTCCTGCTGTCAACCACTGTGCATCACAGATGTGCCACTCTCTGTGAGAGTGATAGAACCAAGTGTGGCCATCCCAACTTGGACCCAACCAGGAGGGCTTCTCTCTTTCTGCAGGTGATCCTGAAGCTGGGCTGGGAGGAGGCTGGAGGTGAGATGGGAGTGGTGGCAGTGGGAAAAGAAAGTGAGCTTGGGTGGAGGTGAGAGGACAATAAGAATTAATTACTGCCATAAAGTGCTTGGAAGAAAATGTGTGTTGAGGTCATGGGTAGGCTGGCTAGGGGGGCCGAGTTCATGAATGGGTGGGGAGAACAACCACATTGCAAGCCCTGACCGGACTCTGTAAGGTACTTGAATGCCAGGACTAGGAAGTTTGCTTCCCCTCCTATAATCATGGATATCACCGGAGGATTTTGAACAAGGGAAAGAACCTAATGAAATAAGGATTTAAGAGTAGCCACTGGTTGAGAATGTAAAGTCGCTGGGGTGATTGACAGGGGACCCTCACGGTTAGGGTGGAAGTCCTGGAATTACCACACTTTCTTCCCTACCCTAAGTTCACTGCATCAGTACTGAGTTCACACCTCAGAAGAAAGGTGGAGAGAAAGGTGTCCCTTTCTACCTCTAGATAAACATCTTCAAGCCCAGTGACAAGGCATCTGTAGAGCACCTGAATTTGGCTGGCTGCCTCACCAAGGTGTTCAAGGTTTGGGCAGCCCTGGCTCTGCCTTGCTGTGGACTTTCAGCATTCCAAGCCTTTGTTTTGGGACTCTTCTCCTTTTCTATACAGAGAGGGATGGGATTTGTGGTGAGCAGGGAAAGAAGGGGTCTCTGAAGCTTCTGTATCACCCTTCTGGAACCCAAAGGAGCTGACTAGAAACTGAAAACTGACCAGGAGAAGATTGTGAAACAACCCCCGCCTGAGAGACAACTCTCGGAGCCTGCAAGAGCATGGTCTTCTTGGAGGTGTGTGCTGGGTGGCAAGAGTGGGAATACAGTGGGGCTATTGAAGCCTCAAGGGCCGCAACTGCTCCAGGACTCCACAGCCATGGGATTTGTTTCCTAAGGGACAGCCTCTGCCCTGGGTGCTGCTCAAGATTTCCAGGAGCTGAAGCCTCCAGACCACCCATCCATGGCAAATCCCACGGGGAGCATCTGGATGGCTACCTGTGACTAGCTTTTCCCAAGATAGGCTGTGGTTGACTTTTTTCTTTTGCTGAAGCACAGTCAACTTGCTGGGACCTCCCTATAGGGTAGGAGCCAAGTCTGATCCTAGGCAGGCCCCAGCACCTTTTTTATACTGGGTATGAACCCAGGGCCTCAAATGTTAGGCAAGTGCTCTTCATCTGAGCTACACTCCCAGCTCCCCCCCTCCTTTTTTTAAAATTTTGAAACAGGGTCTTGCTAAGTTGATGAGGATGGCCTCAAACTTGTGATCCTCCTGTCTCAACCTTGTCAGCTCTCAATAGACACCTGGAGGGAGGTGAGAAAATGGCTGCTACTGCCTTTGGAGTTCCAGACTGACCTTGCTGTTTGTGTGCCCACAGTATTTGCCCCGGCCAGAATTTACTGCAGCCACCTCTCAGTCCTCTCACTCTGACCTCTGCCAAGTCCCAAAAGCTCCTGTCCTCAAATAGGATGTGCATGTGTCAGCCCCTTCAGGTGAGAGTTAAGAAAAATACCCCTTGGCTCAGGCATGAGGGAAGGGCAGGGCTTGGGGTACAACTGATGCTTGATGAGGAGTGAGGGGCAGCACTGGCAAGCTCTGCCTTCTAGGACAGGCCTCATGGGACACTTGGCCATGCTACTCCACACAACCCCTGAACCTCTGCTCCTCACAGGTACTGTTTTTCACCATCATTCACCTTGGGATTCAGCTCAGTTGAGGTGAGTCCTTTCTATCACCCAACCATGGTCCCAAAGCCCTCTTGAAGCCTCCTCTCTCTCCAGAACAGGGTAACTCTGTCCCCTGGTGGCCTCACTTGGTATGGCCACAGATTATAATTGACCAGCTAGGACCTGGCAGGAGCCTCTCAGATTTGTGAGCCCTCAGGGGAAGGACTGATTCCCCTCCACCTTGTTTTCAGCCCCCAGTCTCTGGGTATCACCTGGGAGCCCTCTTTATGTCTCAGGAACTGAACCCTGGCACCTCCATTTCAGATACACAGCTGGTTGCATGGGCACTGGTGAGGTTGCATCTGGAAGGGACTGAGTGTGGGACACTCAGGCAGAAGGCCTTTGTCTTGACTTGCTGTGTCCTTCAACTAACCTTTATTGAAGACAGAATGTTTCCTGGCACTGTGCTAGGCTTCCTTTGCATATAATAGCCCAAATAATTTATAAACTACCTCTTGAATAGAGAGCCTAGAGAGGTTAAATTACTTGTCCAAAAATATACAGCTAGCAAGTGGCAGAACTTGGATTTGAAGTCTGATTACTGTCTGGGCCTACTAGGACTTTTTGTAGACTAATGGACTGTGTCTCTCACTTCCCACACCTGATCCCAGGCCTCATTTCTTCAATATGGCCTATTGGACCCTGCAGGCACTGATCTGTTGAAGCTTATCTGCCAGGACCTTACTCAGATCTGCGTGCCTTCTGATGGGATCTGCCTTTTCAATCTTAGAGACAGGTGCTGGATACTGACAACCACTGGTCAAAAAGTTAGGTTTTAAGGGGGCTGGGGTTGTGACTCAGTGGTAGAGCACTTGCCTCGTATATGTGAAGAGCTGGGTTTGATCTTCAGCACCACACAAAAATAAACAAAACAGTTAAAAAAATTAAAAAAAAAAGTTAGGCTTTAGGACTGGGAGTATTGCTCACTGGTGTAGTACATGCTTAGCGTGTGCAAGGCCATGGGTTCAATGCCCCTCCTCAACCAACAGGTAGGCTCCTGGGACCTTCTTCTTATGGCCATCCCACTAGCAACACTCCTTTTCTGAGGACAGAAATGAGGTCTTCTAAATTTTTCTCTCCTTATACCCAGTGTCAGCATTCAGGTTCTGAAGAACTGCTTAGTGACTTCCTTCCCTAGGGACCTGGGAGGTGGCTGGGTTCTTCCTCAAATTGGGGGCTAGAAGTGGGAATTAAGTTCAGGACAAAGGGCTAATAGTTTTCCTGGCCCAGGCCCATCCATCACCAGACAACTTTATCTGTGGCTCAGGAGCCTCTAGGCAAGAGAATGAGGTTCCTAAGAACCCTGATTAGGTAGGTGAGGTTCTAGTCTTTCCAGCTGTGGCTGTATGAAACATCTCTGGTCTCTCCCAACATCCCTTGGCATTCCCCTGCCTCCCATGACCAGATTAGTTCTCTCTCCTCACGGAATGTCTCCCTGGGTTTATTCTACCATGTTCTACTCCTACCCCATTTGATTTTTACCATTCTATTAGTATGTGGGAGTAAATCATAACCTTATGGTATCTGGCGTTTAGTCACTCCTGTTTCTTTAAACTGAGAACTCCTCTACTACATAAAGCTGTCTCCTTGGCTCTTCCTTCCTCCATGGGTAGCCATCTTCCTGTCAAGCCCAGTCCCCTCTAGGATGGTCTATGTGCCCACATCCCCAACAATCCCACTTCTGTGCTGCTTGCCCCCCAAGCTTTTAACAAGAGATCTCTCTGGATAAATCCAGTGCTGTGGAGCTGATGGGGAAGCTGGATAAGTTCTTGGCTCTCCCAGCCCTTCAGATCCACCAGGGCCCTGGGGACATTCTTATTCTCCTCAGCAACCAGGTAAAAGAGCAGGTCTCTGCCACAAGTCCCAATGTGGCCATTGTTCACTCCTCTGCCTCTCGCCCAGCTTCCTTTAATTCTTCCCTAGTTTAATCTGTTTGGTTCTAAAGATAGTGTCTTCCTTATAGGTGGTTCAGAAGCTTAAGGATGAGTCATATTTTTGTCCCTGTAGTGAAGAAAGGAAGGGGTCAAAAGGGAGAGGAGTGTCTTAGAGTGAGAAGACTGTTAAGCACATATTCTCTTAAGTGAGATCAGAGGGAGTGGTAAGGCCCCCATCTTCTCCACCCACTCCCCAACAATCATACCAGGCAGATGGGAATGTGTTTGCTGGACATAACCTGGTATCACAGCTCTGACCAGTCGCTTGTGATCTGGTCATTCAAATGCCTGCCTTACATGCTTCCTAGCTTGGCAGTGCTGCAGAAAAGGGAGGCTAGGAAGTGAATTTGAAGTGGGGTTGTTAGAACACTTAATTCATGCTGTGTCTTTAACACCTGGAAGGAGGCACATAGTCTCTAGCCTTACACTTCTTTCTGCTCAGAAGCAATAGTTGGAACCCTGGACAAGCTTCCCTTGCTCACCTTCTGAGCTGGTCAAATGAGAGGCAAAACAAAAACAAAAAAACCCCTGGCAAGGTACTTTTCGCCCTGAGCAGTGTTGACTGCTGAACATTGTTAATCTATGTTTAAAATTTTACTCACCCATCTCTTTTATTATAAAAGTTTAAAATTAAAAATTTCAAAGCAGGGCTGGGGATGTGGCTCAAGTGGTAGCGCGCTTGCCTAGCATGCATGAGGCACTGGGTTTTATTCTCAGCACCACGTAAAAATAAATAAGTGAAATAAAGGTATTGTGTCTAACTACAACTAAAAATAAATAAATAAATAAATAATAAATTTCAAAGGTATATATGTTTGGGTTAGGGATGTGGCTTGTGTCAGAGCACTTGCCTGGCATGCATGAGGCCCTGGGTTTGATCCCCAGTACTGGAAAAAATAAACAAAGGTATATGTTTAACCTGTCAATTTTCTTGGTTTAGAGTCCTTAAGGGGAAAAACCTTTTGCTTAAACTATAATTAGAGCAAGGGATATGGTCTGGGATAAAGAAAAAATAAATCCAGCTGGATTCATTCTCCTTCCAATTGGTTTAGGTAAAAACCAATACTAAAGCCTCCAGATCAGATAATTTAACATTCAAATCACTGTAATTTAGAACCATAGTTCTAGGCTGGGGATGTGGCTCAAGCGGTATCGCGCTCGCCTGGCATGCGTGCGGCCCGGGTTCGATCCTCAGTACCACATACAAAAAAGATGTTGTGTCCGCCAAAAGCTAAAAAATAAATATTAAAAATTCTCTCTCTCTCTCTTAAAAAACAAACAAACCATAGTTCTAAGGATTTGGGAAATACCATAACTGTTCTCTACCACTAAGTTGTATGGGGCTGTTTTTTTTTTTTTTGGTACCAGGGATCGAACTCAGGGACACCTGTCCACTGAGCCACATCCCCAGCCCTATTTTGTATTTTATTTAGAGACAGGGTCTGAGTTGGTTAGTGCCTTGCCTTTGCTGAGGCTGGCTTTGAACTCATGATCCTCCTCAGTCTCTGGAGCTGCTGGGATTATAGGCCTTCACCACCCTGCCTGGCTAATCCTTTCTTTTTGATACCCAAGATGGAACCCAGGGGCACTTAACCACTGAGCCAAAACCCCACGTTTTATTTAGAGACAGGGCCTTGCTAATTTGCCTAAATCCTTGCTAAATTGCTGAGACTGGTTCTGAATTCACAATCCTTCTTCAGCCTCCTTAGCTGCTGGGATTACAGGTGGGTGCCACCAGTGCTAAGTTCAGCTCTAATCTGTTTTTGTTTTTTTTTTTTAGGCCATTAAGAAATCTTTTTTATATCAGAGAAAAACATTCAGCATTTGTTTTTTTGGGATTGGCTAACTTAGCATTATCTTCTCTAACTCCATCCATTTACCTGCAAATACCATGATTTTATTCTCTTTTATTGCTGAGTAAAATTCCATTGTGTATATATGCGACATTTTCTTTATCCATTCATCTACTGAAGGGCATCTAGGTTGGTTCCACAGTTTAGCTATTGTGAATTGTTCTGCTATAAACATTGACGTGGCTGTGTCCGTGTAGTATGCTGTTTTTAAGACCCAGGAGAGGAATAGCTGGGTTAAATGGTGGTTCCATTCCCAGTTTTCTAAGGAATCTCCATACTGCTTTCCATATTGGCTGCACCAATTTGCAGTTCCACCAGCAACGTATGATGAACATCATTATCCAAAGTACATGTATGAAGACATGAATTGGTGTGAACATACTTTTTATACAGATATGAAAAATTGTGCTCTGTATGGGTTTTAAGAATTGTAATGCATTCTGCTGTCACGTATTTAAAAAATAAAATCAATTAAAAAATCTTTTCCTATATTAAAGTCATAAAATGCAATTTCTTATAGTTTGTATTTGGAATGTTGGGGATTAAACATAGGGCCTTGTGCATGCAAGGTAAGTGTTCTACCACCAAGCTCACACCCCTAGTCCCTCCTATGCATATTTTTAAATTAAAACTTCAGGTTTGTTTGTGGTACTGAGGATTTAACCCAGGGGGTACTCTACCATCTATCTGCACCCCAAGCCCCTATCCCTCCCCACCAGCACCCACCCCCACTTTTTATTTTGAGACAGGATATCACTAAATTGCTGAGACTGGCCTGGAACTTTCAATTCACCTGTCTCAGTCTCTTGAGTCACTGGATTATAGGAATGAACCACCACCACAACCAGCTAAATTAATTTGCCTTTTCATGTCTATACTTCACCTGAAATTAATTTTGGGATATCCTGTCAAGTGGGGACCTATTCTTTTCCATTACAGAAAACAGAAAACCAATCTTACCTTAAATAAGTGCTTTCTTTATTTTTTGACAGGGTCTTCCTAAATTGCTGAGACTGGCTTTGAACCTGCAATCCTCCTGTCTCAGCCTCCCAAATTGCTGGGATTACAGATGTATGCCACTGTGCCCAGAGATAAATGCATTCTCAAAAGATAAATGATATTGGATTATATTTTTTTCCATCCTACTCCAAGTTTTATAGTGAAAATCTTCAAATCTACAGAACAGTGAAAACCTAATATGAACT